CATGTGCGGCGGCTGGCAAGCCGGCCAATCACCGGGTCGGGAGTAAGGGCTGCTCCCCTCCTGCCAAAGCCAAGGCCAAAAGTAGGCCCTCCGCCGCCCCCGTCGTTTCCGCCGCCGCCGCCACTGCCGCCGCAGTCGCCGCTGCCGCCACTGAGGAGGTCGGGATGGACTGCCAATAATGGCCCCATTCCGCCTCCTCCAGGCGAACATCAACCACTGCGCCGCTGCTCAGGATCTCCTGCTCCAGAGCATGGTGCAGTGGTCGATCAATGTCGCCGTGGTCTCCGAGCCGTACTTCGTCCCGCCCAGGGATCACTGGGTGGCGGACCTGGACGGCTCGGTGACCATCATATCGTCGGCCGCCGCCGGTACCCCGACTCTTGAGGCTGCTCAAAGAGGCCGGGGTTGTGTCGCAGCACGGTTCGGAGAGCTCGCTGTGGTGGGCGTGTACTTCTCTCCGAACCGAACTCTCGCCGAGTTCCACAACTCCTTGATGGAGTTGGTCACGTCGTCGTCGGGTTCCGTTCCCTCCCCGTACTCGTCCTCGGGGACTTCAATGCCAAAAACTTGGCTTGGGGTTCCCGGTTCACCGACGTCCGGGGTAGGATGGTGGAAGACTGGGCCCTTGAGACAGGCCTAGTCGTCCTGAACCGGGGTTCTGTCCCCACGTGCGTGCGGATGCAGGGCGAGTCGGTGGTGGACATTTCGTTCGCCAGCCCTGCTCTGTCACCGCGTATCGTCGACTGGCGTGTCATGGAGGAGGTGGAGACGTACTCCGACCACCGGTATATCCGGTTCGACGTCTCCGCCGAGTCCGCAGACCCGCCGGTCAGACAGGCCCCATGTGGTCCGCGTTGGGCGCTGAAACAGCTGGACCGGGAGCTGCTCCTGGAAGCCGCCATCGTGCAGGCCTGGGTGATACCACCGGTCAGGCCTGCCGACATCGACGATGAGGCTAAGTGGCTCCAGGACGCCATGTCCAGGATTTGTGACGTGGCGATGCCCCGGATCCGATCGAGGCAACAGAAGCGCCAGGTGTACTGGTGGTCGCAAGAGCTGGCGGCTCTGCGCAAGGCGTGCACTACTGCGCGACGCCAGTACACTAGGCACCGCAGGCGCCGTATCCATCCTCCTAATGCGGAGGCGAGAGAGGCGGAGTTATACGAGGGATACAGGGCGGCGAAGGCCCTCCTCAAGGCGGAGATATTGCGGGCCAAGGAGGAGGCCCGCCGAGAGATGCTGGGGACTCTGAATAGAGACCCGTGGGGACGCCCGTACCGGATGGTGCGCGATAAGCTCCGCGCCTGGGCTCCCCCGCTCACTCAGAGTCTCCGGCCAGAGGTCTTGGAGGAGGTGATAAGCGCCCTGTTCCCCCGACCGCGGAGGCGCTTCAGGCCTCCGTATATGACTCTGCCCCCTGCGGTGCCCGACGCGGGCTATAGCGACGGCGACGATGACTCGTCCCAGAGGTGACCGAGGCAGAATTGAGAGCGGCGGTGCGCCGGATGGGCGCCAAGAACACCGCCCCAGGACCCGACGGCTTGCATGGCAAAGCATGGGTCCTGGCCTCAGAGGCTCTCGGGCCTCGATTAATCGGTCTCTACAGCGCATGCTTGGAGAGAGGCCAGTTCCCGCTTCTCTGGAAAGCGGGCAAACTGGTCCTCGTGCGGAAGACGGGGCGCCCTGCGGACTCTCCGTCCGCATACCGGCCCATAGTGCTGCTCGACGAGGTGGGGAAAGTCTTCGAAAGAATCATTTCGAACCGCCTCGTCGCGCACCTGACGACATTGGGCCGGACCTGTCGGACGGCCATTCGGCTTCCGCAGAGGGCGCTCCACGGTGGACGCCATCATGCGCGTTAGGGACCTCACGACGGGGACTGCAGTGTCCGGGGGTAGAGTCGTGGTGGCGGTGTCTTTAGACATCGCCAACGCCTTCAACTCCCTGCCCTGGAGCTGCATCTTGGAGGCACTCCGATATCATGGGGTGCCTACCTACCTCCGTCGTGTGATCGAGGCTTACCTGACGGACAGGTCCGTCAGCTACCCCGGTCACCGGGGCGAGTGGAACCGGCGAGAGATGTCACGCGGTGTTCCACAGGGTTCGGTTCTGGGGCCGCTCCTGTGGAACATCGGCTATGACTGGGTGCTGCGCACCGACCTCCCGAACGGCGTTAGCACAATATGCTACGCCGACGACACGCTGGTGCTAGCGCACGGGAGGTCGCACCAGGCGGCGGCCGACTTAATGGCGACAGCGGTTGCGACAGTCGTTGAAAAATCCGGCAGTTGGGACTCGAGGTGGCGCTCCACAAGTCCGAGGCCATGTGTTTTCATGGCCGCGGGAACGCGCCACCTCCGGGTGGGTCCCAAATAATGGCGGGAGGGGTTACCATCGGCGTCGAGACGACGATGAAGTACCTGGGACTCGTCCTGACAGTCGGTGGAACTTCGTGGAGCACTTCCGACGTTTGGCTCCAAAGTTGGCGAGGGCGGGGGCTGCGTTTAAGCGCATCCTCCCCAACCTCGGGGGGCCAAACGCCTCCTGCCGGAGGTTATACGCCGGGGTCGTGCGGTCCATGGCCCTCTACGGCGCCCCTGTTTGGGCGCCGAACTTGTTGCGGCGTCCTGCTCGGACGCTGCTCATGTCACAGAGGGTCATGGCGATCCGAATGATCCGCGGATACCGCACGATCTCTGGGGAGTCGGCGAACCTCCTTGCCGGATTACCGCCGTGGGATCTGGAGGCGAAGGTGCTCGCGCGCGTGTATAACATGCGCGCGGAGGCACGTCGCCGGGGCGAAACTCCGCTGCCGCGCCAAATAAGTGCGTGGCGGGATGAGCTCCGGCGCGATCTCATGGCGGAATGGCAGCAACGACTGTCGCAACCGGGGGCTGGGCTCGCTGCCATTGCAGCGGTAAGTCCCCTCTTTGAGGAGTGGCTTGAGAGACGCTACGGCGTCCTCACCTACCGCCTGACGCAGGTCCTCACCGGACATGGAAGTTTCGGGAGGTACCTGTGTCTGATGGGGCGGGAGGAAACGCCCGGGTGTCATCACTGCGAGGACCGCCCTGAGGACACGGTGGAACACACAGTGGGAGAATGCCCTGCGTGGGCTGAGCACCGCCGTGCCCTCAGGGAAGTGATCGGCGATGGCGACCTCTCGCGTCCGGGCCTAGTGCAGGCCATGATGCGGAGCGAGGGGGATTGGGATGCCGTCTCCTCCTTTTGCGAAGCAGTCATGCTAGCTAAGGAGGAGGCGGGACGCGTGAGGCAGCGAAGCGCTGCCTCCTCGCAACCCAGCCATCGCGAAGGACACACCGGGCGTCGGGGATCGCGAGACGATCTCCGGCCACCGTAAGCGCGGGCCTGCGGACGGCGAGCATGGGTGGCTCCCCGTCCGACCAGAAACAGACCCGAGCGTACGGCGCGTCGCGTTCCGCGCGCGCCTCAAAGAGCCATCAGACCACCACAGATGGGGCCCAATAGGGCCGATGCCGATTCGGAGTCGCGGAGAACCTAACGGGTAACCGGGGCTCCGGCTCGACGTGCAGGAGAAGGAACGGGGTGGTTTTTAGTCAGTAAGAGTCTGACACTCCCTTCCGCCTCACCCAGGCGGGAGCAGTCATTCGATGATTTTCCCCCCTTAAAAAAAAAAAAAAAAAAATTAGGTATATTGTTTAGAGTTATCGAAGACGGAATATTGTCAGATTTAGGAAATGTATATTCGTTTTCGATCTCGTTGCGTTTAAATTATTTTTGATAGTATTTCCATTTTACGCTATCGAAAGAGAATAAAAATGATTCCTTTTTAATAACTATATCTACGTGGAACATAAAAGCATTAATACGGTTTAATAAGTATTTTTTCTATTAAAATTAACAGACAATGCAATAAAAATGTAATCCAAAAGTGTAACTTTAAAGTGTGTGAGAGCCATGCTTCGGCATGAATGGGACGGCTTGATAGAAGTGATACCACGGTTTCACAGAAAACCGACGTGAAACAACACTTGCGTTGTATTTCGTCGCCTATTACCCCTTCCGCAGTCTCCCCAATCCCTGAATCCTCAAATTCCCAATTCTCAAAAGGCCGGTAATGCACTTGTAACGCCTTGGTGTTTTAGGTGTCCATGGGCTGCGCTGATTGCTTGCCATCAGGTGATCCGTCTGCTCGTTTACCGGCTTATCCCATAAAAAAACCCAAAACACACAAAGTAGTCGGGTTTGTGCAATACATATATACAACAATCAATTATGTATGACGTAATTAAAGCCAGCTATTCAAATATGACCAAAGTGATAAACTTGTAGTTTAATATTAAATGGCAAACCAGTATTACGGTATCAATTTATTTATGCATAACGTAGGTTTAGCGTCGCGACCGCAGCGTATATTGGAAAGGCAGGTCATTTTATAGAAAATTATGTAATGTGTAAAATTATTATGTAGTCACATACCTAATTTGAATATGTAGTAAACGGGTATTTTTTAAATAAAATGTTCCCCACACTATGATTTTCTCCTGTGTCGTGGGCCCGGAGGTTTAAGACAGCTTATCATGCATGAGGGCAAGTACCAATGAGACTTCTTCCGAATTATATGTACTTTCTAAGATTATTTACAAACCACTGACAAACGGTGAAGAAAAATCATCCAATGACTTCTCCTGCCTTGGTTTGGCGAGAGGGAGTGTCAGACTCTTACTGACTAAAAACCACCCCGTTCCTACTCCTGCTCTACGAGCCGGAGCCCCGACAACCCGTTAGGCCTTCCGCGGCTCCGTATCGGGCATCAGCCCTACTGGACCCCATCTATGGTGGTCTGATGGCTCTAATCGTGAGGAAACCTGAGCTTATAATTTCTGCATGAGCAAGCGTGGTGATTTGGTGATTAATACCTTCTCCTTGGTTGAGTCCGAGGCCTTTGGTCAGCAGTGGCCACAAATAGGCTGATGATGATTAAGTTAAAATTATTATACATCTATTAAGTTACTCACAGTAGCTCTAGAGGTCCCGCTATCAAGGCTGCTTTGCGAAGATATGGAGGGCGTCCTAGCAAGCCTGGCGTGAGGCAGGGAACTGGCAGCCCTGCCTTCTGTGGCCAGGGGCTGCACGCGGCACTGCTCTTTAGGTATCAGCATCTCCTGTCAACAATAAAGGTTGATTTAAACACTGGAAGTGAAGAAGACTTAAGGTAGATATTGTTCAGGTTTGACTGTTAATTACATTTTATATTACGAATACTGTATGTTTGTTAACAAGTGAAACAACTGAATTTGTTTCTACAAATATGCTACAAGGCAGCATCTTTTTACACGTCAATTTGTCGAGCGGGCGATAATGCGGACAGTTATAGAGTTATGAGAATTATGTGTCTAATTATTTTTGATTTTTGACATACATAATATCCATCTTATTATTGTCCATCGCTGTTAATTATTTTAATTGCTCTAGCCACATGAGCCTGACTTATCTTAGTGCGAGTGGTTAGGACTTCATACAGTCTCTGCCTCGGCATATAAACCTAAAGTGTTTTGTTTGTTTGAACGCGTTTATCTCAGGAACGACTGATCCGATTTGAAAACCTATTTTTGTGTTGAATAGTCAATTTATCGAGAAATGCTATAAGCTATAAAACGTCGCGCTATGATCAGTAGGAGCCGAGCAGAGGTTGAAATTGCGCAAAAAAAAGCTAGTGTAATATATTTTCTAAGAGAAACCCTAACACTTAATAGGCTCTTTCTTCTATAAACGCGCGTTTTTCTGAAAGGAAAGATAATAATCTCCGTTGCTGGCTAAATAAAAATATAAGAAGCTTAAGTTCTATAGTATTATACTTGCAACGCAATGTAAAGTGTTTATAACCCGAGCTGCTCGGAAAATCCTCGGGCTTCCCTTAGCATTTTCTTATACGTAATATCGCACTTTTATAACTTTATTAAACAAGCATTTTTCTTGGGTTTCTTACTAAAAGGTGGTGATGAGTTGGAGAATAGTATAATAGCGTTATTTGTTTTGTTAGTAAGTTAGTAGATTTAGTAGGCCAGTTTCAGGTTCCTATGAAATTTCTGACAACCATACCTCCTAAAGTTTCATTTTGAAATGAATCTGGTGTGTTAAGAGTGAAACAGATTCTATTTATAATAATACAACAACACGCCTTTCTTCTCCGAAGGGTGTACATTATGGCCCTCAATGCCACTGTAACATGTAACACCCACTTTTCACTATTTTATGTTTTGAGTCCCATGTAATAGGGGGTGAGGCCAGGCACAATTCCAGACTCCGTGATACCACTGAGAATTTTTAAACATAGTAATTATTAGCACGACCCTAAAATCGAATCCGAGAGCCTTTGCCCGGCTGTCGCACTTGCGACCACTCGGCCAACGAGGCAATCTTTTAATTAAAATAACTATCGTGACATAAACTAAATTAACTAAAAATCGCGGGTTACTCACGAGAATATACTTAGCTTTCCTCAAAGCTCTACTAGCACGGTCGCGGCGATGTTGCGCAGCCTAGGCTGAGGCTCATGAGGAAGAACCCCTCTGTGGTTCGAAACTAGTAGAGCTTTTCTCCGTATATTCACGTGAGTAACCCGCGATTTTTAGTTAATTGAATGAAACAGATTGTTATGGGAAACAATTTAGAATTTTATTTTTAATTTAGACTTACTTTTTGATTATGCATTATTTTATGTAATTACTTTTTGTTTGTAGTATTGTATGTTACTATCTTTTATGTAACACTTTTACCGCGACGAACATAGCAACAGGTCACCTTACACAGAATAACCTAAGAAGCTAAGTTTATAGGTCACAAAAGGAAACTCGTAAATCCTAAATCCGGCCTAGAATAATCCTTCTTCCAAACTTATTCTGTTGTTCTGGGAATTGTCATAAGTTGAGCACCTTATCTTCTTTTATAAAAGTTATTATTCTTAGTTAGGTATGTTATGTAAATCCAATGCTTTGAGACTTTAGTGATATTGTACATCTGAACAGATTGACTTCGAAGTATTAAGCTACATCTTTTTGACTGCCTCGTTGGCCGAGTGGTCGCAAGGGGTCTCAGGTTCGATTCTCGGGTCGGGCAAATTATTACAGGTTTTTTTTTAAATTCTCAGTAGTAGCACAGAGTCTGGAATGGTGCCCGGTATATGGCAATAGGCTGACCCCCTATTACACGGGACTCATAACATAAATAGTGAAAAGTGGGTGTTACATTGTACAGTGGCATAATGTACCTACACAACTGCCTACAAACGCGCTCACGACTCAGAAGAAAATCCTAGTGTAGGGCAACGTTTAAAAAAAATGGTACTAGTACTTAAGTTACAATTGCAGTTCATTGGCGATCATCAATAACAAAAACTAAAAATTGAAACTTTATTAACACTAACAGAAAGAAAAATGATCCTTAATGTCGTCAAAATAAGGTCAATAACTTCAGCCAGTTCGTTTACAGTATAAATATGACTTAAAACATTTGGCCCGTGGGCTATCAATCAACCTGGCTTGACAAGCAATCGATCCATTCAATATTTTACTTCGGTGACAAATTGCTATTTTAAAGGTGTAATTTAAATATCATATTATTATTGAGAACTAGCTGTTGCCTGTGTCTTCGACCATTTAATACGAATTTTAGAACATAGATCTTTATTGTTTTAATTTTCTAAAATAAACGTAACATCAGCTACTTGCCAATAAAAGTCTTGCAAAATCAGTCCAGCCCTTCCAGAGACTAGCCAGTACAAACATATAGACAGACTAAAAATGTAAAAAAATGATATTTTGGTACGTGTATCGTAGTAAGTTTCATTTTGAAATGAATGTGGTGTGTTAAGAGTGAAATAGATTGTTTTTAAAATAACATAACATCATGCCTTTCTTCTCTGAACGGGTAGGTAGAGGTGCACATTATGGCAATTAATGCCACTGTATCATGTAACACCCACTTTTCACTATTTATGTTATGAGTTCCATGTAATAGGGGGTGAGCCTATTGACATATACCGGGCACAATTCCAGACTCCGTGCAAATACTGAGAATATTTAAAAACCAAGTAATACTTTGTCCGACCCGGGAATCGAACTCGACACCCCTTGCCCGGCAGTCGCACTTACGACCACTCGGCCAACGAGGCAGTCATATTACAAACAGACACTCCAATTTCATTTATCTGTGTAGATTTTTTTGTGATATGTTAAAACCGTACAACACCGTACGGGTCAATACGGTGTGGAAATGAAGCTTGCTTTGAATGACTGTCCTAGTCATTACGCTATAATATTACAAGCGGGATTCGAAGAACATTATATTTATTTATTTCTTCTTCACAATATACAACAGTGAATGGCGGACTTAATGCCATAAGGCATTCTTTTACAGTCAACCATAGGGAAGTGCAGAGAAATGAAGCGGTTGATGCGAAGCCAGAAAACAATTAAAAAAAAAAATTGTTATGGAATATGTATACTACACACATAAATACCTATAGAATAAAGATATTAATGCAATATTTTATAAATTTGTATAGACATACATACCATATAATATATACTGCCAAACAAATACTTATACCTACTGCATAAATACTACAATATATTATAACATAACATAACATAACATCACGCCTTTTATCCTCAAAGGGGTAGGCAGAGGTGCACATTATACCACTGTACAATGTAACACCCACTTTTCACTATTTATGTTATGAGTCCCATGTAATAGGGGGTGAGCCTATTGCCATATACCGGGCACAGTTCCAGACTCCGTGCTACTACTGAGAATTTTTTAAAAACCCAGTAATACTTTGCCCGACCCGGGAATCGAACCCGAGACCCCTTGCTCGGCAGTCGCAATTGCGACCACTCGGCCAACGAGGCAGAGCAGAGTTCTTTCTTAAAAAACACATTAAACCGTCGAGACAGTATTCCTAGAAAACTCTTAAAAATAAAAATGTTAACGGAGAAAGCTAAAACAACAGTGGATTAATTAAATTGGAAAGAATAATTACAATATTTGATTAGTCCTTGTTTATACAAAATGGGCGCTGGTTTATTCTAGAAGCTTTCTTAGCTAATCAATGTTGTTTGCCTTTTTCTAACCGTTGCCAGAAGATAACCGAATTAATTTTTTCCTAAAATTCTTTAGAATCAACGTCTTGAAATAAAATGAGAGAAAACAGGTAATAATAATTATCAAGTTATGTTTAATGAAATTATCAAGTGTTTGGTAAGGTGTTTAAAATACTTATTTAACTAGTTTTCGTTAATGAAGGCAACAACATTATATTACAACATAACTTCACGCCTTTTATCCCCGAAGGGGTAGGCACATTACGGCACTTAATGCCTTTGTACAATGTTATTTTTATTTTTCATAATCTTTGTTTGTGTGCCATTTGCCAAATAAATGCTTTTTCTTTCGTTCTTTCTTTCTAACACCTACTTTTCACTATTTTATGTTATGAGTCCCAAGTAGCCTATTGCCATGTACCTACCGGGCACATTTACAAACTCCGTGCTACTACTGAGATTTTTAAAAACCCTGTAATACTTGCCCGACCCTACGTCCCTACGTCGTACAATCGAACCCGAGACTCCTTGCCCAGCAGTCGCACTTGCGGCCACACGGCCAATGAGGCAGTCTATGAAGAAACTACTTTTACCCGCGGCTTTGCACGTGTATTCATGTTTTATCCAATGGAAGCATTTAATGGAGAAAAAAGATATCCTTTCACCTAAATCAGGCCATACGTTGCCTGTATACCAAATTTTATCAAAATCCGTTCAGTAGTTTCAGCGTGGTTGACGGCCAAAAATCCAAACAAAGAAACTCACATTTATAATATTAGTGTTCATTGGCGAATAATAAATTATCTTCGATTTGTTAACTACAGAAACGACAAACTTAGCCTTAAGAAACACACAGCTTGGTATTGTACATAACAGTATGAATAAATTTAAAAGGTACTTGTGCACGACGGCAATACTAGGTCGCAAGCCGCCCGCGACGTGTTCCGAACGTGTCCGAACCATGACGAAAAGGCAAGTTCAGACACGAACATCAAAGGCGCGCGGCGGCGATCCTTTGTTCCGCGCCGCCGCTGCTTGGTTTGAACTTGCCTTTGAGCATGTACAAACAT